TTATGACGGAAGTAGGGCCCGTCCCAAGTACACCAGCCCGGTTAGAGAACATCTTGCCGCAGATTTACTTGCCGCAGATTTACCTGATGCCGCAGATTTCGCCCCCGTAAATTCTATTTTCAATTAAATTTATTTCATTTCTTCTTTTCATTCGCTTCTTTTTCAATCATTTTCCCTTTGTTTATTTCTTTCCATTCAATTCAAAAAACACAAAAACCAAAAAAATTTAAAAATACAAAATCCAAAAACAATTTAAAATACAAAATCCAAAAAAATTTAAAAATACAAAATCCAAAAAAGTTATAAAAAGCAAAAAACCCAAAAAAGATTGTAAGATGTTAATTAAAACGTAGAATAACTACGTAAAGCCGCAGTACGCACGCTCTACAACCTTTTAACCGGTAATTTAAACATAATTTGATAGAAATTTTCAAAGATTGAGATAATATTCACGATCTTATAATGTTATTCATCAAACTTATTGGTTTAATTATAATCATCATACTTATTAGTTGCAATTTAGTATTACTTGATGGTTTTTCTTTGATTCTTTGTTCGTGTTATAATGCTAATCATCAATCGGATTGGTAGAATTTTACATTATTTTGTTGCAGGCTAATCCGGATCTTCACTTCACTGTGGCTCACTTCTACCTCCTTCTTCTAATGAAAAATCAAAAAAAATAAGAGGTAAATACTACCAGTTATTAATACTGAAGACATTTTGTGAATAGACACTGTTTACATGGGTCCCGTGTATCTCTGAACCAATATTCTAAAACTTAATACTTTTAAAATTCGGTTTCAGATCATCATTCAACGCGTTCGATTGGACCCGTTCGATTGGACCCGCTCGATTGGACCCGGAAACGTCTCTCCTCTCATCCAGACTTTAATTGGTTGAGGTAACGCACAACGTTCTATTTTCCAATTACATTAGTAGTCAATATTACAGTATTACAGTAATTGAACATTTAAAAAAAGTAATATTGCGTTTAAACGTTTGCATCTTTAGTTAGTTACATAACAATTAAACAACTTTTCCTAAATATTTCAGGTCTAAATCGTGTCGACAATTTGAGGTGCCCGATCGTTTGTTCATGTCTGGATTCGATAATCAGGATGGAGGATATTCATTCTGGAACGGATAAAACAACAGATACAAGATGCATGCATGTGTGAATGAAGTGAATGAGACCCTTGGAGTTTTTTTTCCTCATTTCTGAGGTTTTTTTTGTATACGTATGAGACCTTTGTGAAGTATGAGAAAGTATGAGACCCGTGAACTTTTTTTCCTCATTTCGGAATGAGGTTTTTTTTATATACGTATGAGAATGAGACCCTTGTGATAATCAATTTTTTTTCCTCATCATGTTGAGGTTTTTTTTGAAATACAAACATTTGTTTTAACTGTCAATCACGTCTTATTTTTTTACAAAGGTTTAGGATCGTGAATATTCTCACAATCCGGAGTAGTTTCACTAGAACTGAAGTATAATTTCGACTCAAAATACGTACAAGTTATAGTCGAAATACGATGGTTTGAAGGGGTTTAATTAAATTCGGCTCTTTTGATGACGCTGCCAAATTTTTATAGCCGTCGACTGGTTTATGTGGCAGCCACAGAGAATAGCCGAATATTAATTTCGACTGGTTAACAGACTTGGTCAAAATAAAACAGTTCGATTATTTATCAGAACACGTCATGACAAATAGTCGAATTTCATTTTTCGACGATTTATAAATGTTTGTCCAAATAAATTCGGTTAGAAATGATTTATGACAATACACAAATTCGACTAGTTATCGGAACAGGTTTTATTTCGATTATTTGACTATATTTGACAAAATTATCAATTCGGGTAGTTGTCAAACCTCGTCATAGTTCGTTTAAAAACAAAATACGTCATTCGACTATATCACAGACTACGTCAAAATCGTGTTTTTCTTCGACTGTTTGTAGAACGTCCCAAAATCTTATTTTTTTTCGACTATAATACGGAATTTGTTCATTCGGCTATAAATCGGATTTTGTTTTTCGGTTATTTGTCTGTTTCCCATTAGTTCCTATTTTAATTTAACTTTTGCTTAGTATAGTATCAATATAATTAAACTGAAAAACTTTTTAATATTTAAAAACATGCTATCAGGTTTATATTCAATGAAAGCAGCTCCCAACTTTTATTTACTAAGTTAAATATACTAATTATCTACTAGATAAATATTTATCTTCTTCTAATTTTTATGTTCAAAATTAATAAAAGTATTATTTCAAAACTTTAATCCTTCATTCAAAACAAATCAGAATAAATTAGGTAAAGTTGCCGATATTGTATCGGCACCTAAATTGTACTTTTGTTGTGTCTAGTTATTTTTACAACCCAAAAAATATCTTTTGACTAAAATTTTATCTTTGCTATGTTGAACCAATAAATCAATTGTTTTTTTGTAAACTCAAAGTGTTTGTAAGCTCAAAGTCTAGTCGCGTAATTTGTACCTCACTTAAGGCCTTAAATTGTACCAAGGCTGCCATTTTGAATATTTGTAACTTTGGTCAAGAATATAGATTTTCTGTTTTGTATCATTAATATAATGTGCAGTAATATTTATATTTTTCCTACCAAAATTCTAGCTACTACATTAGTAAGTTACACATCTAATATAAAAGTTGTACGTTATTGATGATACCTGTTTTCAGACTATTTCAGGAAAGATTTACAGTTTCATACAAAAACCATTCAAAATGTACTGTAAATTAATATAGTATTTGTAAAATCAATATATGTACAATATTGGATTGGTACTATTTAGGATCTTGTTTCCTTAATTGTACCAATAGCATGTTTTTTAAAGTTTAATTCCCTATCAAATACCAACGTTTACATTTTTGAGTATTTCAACTTTTTTAGAATAGTTTATCCGCAAATTATAAAACACGATAAAGTCTGATTGTTTCTACTTTGTATTTTTTCTCTATTTTTGATTTATTCTTAGACGGTACAATATCTTAGAGGGTACAATATCTTAAAGGGTACAATATTTTAGAGGGTACAATATCTTAGAGGGTACAATACCTTAGAGGGTACAATATCTTAGAGGGTACAATATCTTAGAGGGTACAATATCTTAGAGGGTACAATATCTTAGAGGGTACAATATCTTAGAGGGTACAATATCTTAGAGGGTACAATATTTTAGAGGGTACAATATCGGCAACCTTACTCTACTTAACTAGATATTCAAACAACACCTAAATACAATCCAAAAGTTATTTTGTTGCAACTAAATTTTTAACTTTAATAAGAGAACCAAAGGCATGGAATAAAATACTTGCAACTGAACTTAAAATTTTAACAATGTTATTACTAAAGAATTATATACCACAAATTCTTTTCTGAAATTGCGATATACCCTTATGATTGATCTATCACTCGTTGTTAAGGCGGTTTTTAAATATTTTAGCGTCTATATAATATTTTGCTGACTACTACATAATTATGTTAAATGATTAAATCTGTGAATTATGATAAGACGAAAAAATTAAAAATTATAAGTTTTACTCTTACATAAAATAAAAATGTTTGTGGTAAAAAAACCCAGACCGAAGATTCTTTTTTTTTTTTTTTTTTTTTAAGTATTTTTAAGATAGCGATTTCTTGTCCAAATTAAAATAAGATTTTAAATAAAAAGGTTGTTTAAGTGAAGTGAATATCATAGTTTAACAATATGATCTGTTCTGATCGTTTATTTGCAATTTTTCTTAACTATAAGCTCTGTCTTAGTTGGAATTCTTATATTTTTTGTAAAAATTGATAGAAATTTTGTATTTTGACAATTATATTCAATTAATATGGACTGGAATAAATTAGAGCTAGGATCTATAGTAGATTAGGGCACTTTTTCAAAAAACTTTAACTAAAATTAAGTTGAAGAGAGTTGATCTAAAAACTCAAAAATAGTGTTCTTTAGATTCACAATTAGGGGTAAAAAAAAAGTTTTGAAAAATATATTAAATAGAGAAAAGTTTCTTTAAACATTATAAAAACTTCATGGAGAAAAGATTACAGCTTCTATAGGTTTAAGTTACACTTAGTAACTTTTTAAATTTATTTATCTCTTTGTTTGATGTGTTTTTTTTTTTTTTGTTTTTTTTTTTTGATTTTTTGAATTTTGTTTTTGTATTCTAAAGTTTGATATTATAAAAAAAAAACAACTTAAATTTATGATTTTTTAAAAATAAAAATTCGATAATATTTCCATTATTTTAGAAGAATATGTTTAAGCAAATAGCGTTTCTTGCTATTTATTAATAATAGATTTTTTATTTATTATTTTACCACTTGGATCATAAATCGATGATAATAATGAAAAAAACATTAAACCAATTTTCTTATAGAAAACGGTCACCCACAAACCAAAAATTTGAATTTAACATATTTAACATAAAATTTCAAACAATTGTTATATATTAGACATATATAACAATTGTTTGAAACAAGACATATATATATATATATATATATATATATATAGTATATATATATATATATATATATATATTTATATATATATATATATATATATATATATATATATATATATATATATATATATATATATATATATATATGTATATATATATATATATATATATATATATATATATATATATATATATATATATATATATATATATATATATATATATATATATATATATATATATGTTTTCAATATTAAATCAAATAGCTGTCACAAGATTTTATTGTCGATTTCTCGGTGACAAGACTTTATTGTCTTCTTTGAGTTTCCACGTTCTTTGTAGTTTTTTTTTAACGGTATCTTTATTTGTAATTTTTCTCTTTTTTATTTGTATTAGTATAAAGTTCGTAATAATGAACAAAAAATAATGAATAAACAAAAAATGAAAAGAAACAAAATTGAGTTGTTATTTATCAAAACCTTACCTTTTTTTTAATTAAAAAAATTTGCGACAATTAAATATTTTCTTTTCAAAATTTGGTTCTTAGAATAAACAAAATACCTATCAAAATCTTTGCATGACTATCACGAATTTATGTCTTGTATTTACATTTTAAAAAATAATTCAACATAAATCACATTAACTAATATAAACTGACATATAACAGCATAAACAAACATAAAGTAACTTAAAGTTAACATAAATTAAAGTTAAACAACGAGTGCTTGGTTCTAACATGTTATCTTTATAAGTTTTTAGTAGTTCTAATTTTTAAATATTTCTGAAAAAATATATATTTATATACAGGTGTAATATACAGATAAATTAATATTTAAAAAAATGCTGGCACATTTTATAATACAATAAAATTGACAAGTTTGTAAATATAAATAAAAATACAACTAAAATTAAATATCTATGATCTTGAAACCATCTACGGTCTTCTATATATTCAAGTAACCATTTAAAGCGTGTTTCTCTTTCATCTTGCTGGTAGTTGTTCTCATTTCCAGCAGTAAAGTGATCAACAATACTTTTCTATAATAAAAAAATGAAACTCACAAAATTTTCACAATTGCTGTTAGTATTAATAGACACATGTGATATGCATGGTATGTGCTGTTAGTATTAATAAACACATTTGGTATGCATGAGTAGAGAGATTTTTCGTTACTTTTGTTGTGCTGTCAGTATTAATAGACACATGTGCAATGCATGGTATGAGCTGTAAATATTAATAAACATATGTGGTATGCATGAGTAGAGAGATTTTTTCAACATGATAAATTTTACCAAAATTAATGTTTAAAAAATTTAATTTCGGATTGATGCACTATTAACTTTTTTAAACTTAATTAAAAAACAATTAGATAAAAGCAAAAAAAAAGACTGGAATTAAACCAAATTGAAAACTACATCAAGAATATAAATGACATTTCAAACTATTTGAGCTTGGTGTCTAATACTAAACGTATGCACCAACCACAAGATGACAGATTTTATAGGAGCACAGAAAATATTTGTCTTTATTTTAAAATACATATCTTAGGATCTTCAGATAATAAATAGGAGTTACTATCTTCAGATAATAGGAGCTACTATCTTCAGATAATAGGAGCTACTATCTTAAGATAATAGAAGTTAATATCTTCAGATAATAGAAGCTACTATCTTCAGATAATAGGAGCTACTATCTTCAGATAATAGGAGCTACTATCTTCAGATAATAGGAGCTACTATCTTCAGATAATAGGAGCTACTATCTTCAGATAATAGAAGTTACTATCTTCAGATAATAGGAGCTACTATCTTCAGATTATAGGAGCTACTACCTTCAGATAATAGGAGCTACTATCTTCAGATAATAGGAGCTACTATCTTCAGATAATAGAAGTTACTATCTTCAGATAATAGGAGCGACTATCTTCAGATAATAGGAGCTACTATCTTCAGATAATAGGAGCTACTATCTTCAGATAATAGAAGTTACTATCTTCAGATAATAGGAGCTACTATCTTCAGATAATAGGAGCTACTATCTTCAGATAATAGGAGCTACTATCTTCAGATAATAGGAGCTACTATCTTCAGATAATAGGAGCTACTATCTTCAGATAATAGGAGCTACTATCTTCAGATAATAGGAGCTACAATCTTCAGATAATAGGAGCTACTATCTTCAGATAATAGGAGCTACTATCTTCAGATAATAGGAGCTACTATCTTCAGATAATAGGAGCTACTATCTTCAGATAATAGGAGCTACTATCTTCAGATAATAGGAGCTACTATCTTCAGATAATAGGAGCTACTATCTTCAGATAATAGGAGCTACTATCTTCAGATGAAATGTTATGATCTTAAGACTTTTCAGCATAGGTAATTAACGGTTGTGCAAGTATTTTTATATATATATACATAAAAACAGTTTTACATTAAATTGTTTACTTATTTTTTAAAACTCATATTTGTTAAAAAATTTCATATCTAAAAAATAAAAAAAAATTCATTTTATGCGCAGTATTTTCTAACAAAGCCATTGTTGCACTTTTTATCCCTTTGCAGAGTTATTTTAAGAAAGATACACAAACATTTTTTTTTATAAAAACACATTTTTTTTTTTTAATAAAAAATACATTTAGTTTCCACTAATTTCTATTGATAAAAACATCTATAAACTTGCATCATTTTTTGAGTATCTAATAAAATCATTTTAAACTACTACGCGTTCGTTTAAAAAAAATTAAATATAGTAAAAGACTTAAAATGTAAAAACCTTTATCTAAAACATCAAACAAAAGTTAATCATGCACAATGATATACTGCTAAAATCCAAGTATATATTTAATTCAAGAGTTAAAAGCAAATGAAAACATTAGACATCTTTATACAAAGATCTATCATCAAACTGAAAATATCTATTAGAAGATGTCGATTGGTGTAAAGAAGAGTTGTTCACAGAGCTGTGAATAAAATAGGATTTCAGTTTAATCCGAGAACAATTTTATTGATAGAAAAAGAGATATTGGAATGAGTAAAAAATAATTGTCAATTTTGACAGTCTATTATATTGCGAGTCTATTGTATGATATGAATAAATTTTATTCAAGCTTGAAAACGAATTGGCGTTCTATTAGTTATAACAGGAAAGTAAAAAAATATTTTTAGATAAAGATGAGCTTTGACGCTTTCTCTGGGATCTGGGACCTAACAACTTTGATGGGTCCTAATATTAATGACTTTTTTTTTCAGAACCCAAGGACGGGGGGGAAGGAGGGATTTAGGGGCGGGGCTACTACCTATGCCCCCCCCCTCCAAAAAAAAAAAAAGATTCTCCAAATATTAGCTAGTTTGATATTTGTAAACAAATATCAAACCAGCTAATATTTGGAGTAAAGACTATATTTGGGAGGGTGAAAAAAAAGTCTGCTGTGTTGGCTAATTAAAAAAGAGGCGGCAGTAATTATTAGCGCGACTCTGAGGACTGTTTGGTATTTGTAAAGTAAATTTGATATGCATAAACATAGGAGCAGCTGCTTCTGGCTCTCCATGAATAAAGAAGTCATGCATATATCAAATTGTTTAAGCTAATTAGCAGCTGCTACACGTTCCCTATGAATAAAAAAACGCGTAGACACCCAACTGTTTAAACAAAGAACCAGCTGCTTCCAGCACCCCATGAATATTGAAGACGCGTCAATATGCAGTTATTTTAAACAACTAAGAAATTTTCAGGTTTAAAAGTCAAACTATTTATTTATTTTTTTTATTACTATATATCTGATATCAATTTCTTTAATAAAAAGATTTTTAAAACTTTTAAAAAAATTGTTTGTACTCAGCTCGAGATATTTTTTGTTTCAAATAAAGAAGTGAAACTGATGAGTGACAACCAAAAGTTTTCGAAAAAACTATGATGACAGTTATTGTTGATCTATTTTGTTTTTAATTCTGATTCAGTGTGAGGTTTTGGTCTCGCTAAAAAAACAAAAATTCGTTGTGTTTAATTTGCTTATTAAATCCGCTGTTATGAATCTATTAACAGTATTAAAATAGTTTGTATAAACAATATATTTATTATAATGTTTACAGAAAAATAAGAAACTCTAAAAACCCTGTGAATGATAAACAGTTTTTAACTTTTTTTTTATACAAACAATTCATTTAGATATACGAGATTTACAAAATGGCGTTATTATCAATCATCGAAAAACAATAGGTCACTTATTATTAAAATATCATTTTAATAAAATAGGTCACTTATTACTAAAATATCTTTTTCTTTTAGTTTTATTAAATTTTTTTTAAATATCACTTCATTTAATTTTATTTCAACAAGATCCACGTTTTAGTTTGAAATTTTTAAATATTCTTTTATTGTGTTTATAGTTTTATTTTTATTTGATGTGGTTTTTTGTTATTATTATATTATATTTAACCTTGACCTACTTATTTCACTTGATATTCGGTCACATTGTTAAGAGAGCGTTCGGATGATGAATCTTAAAACTTGTGTCAGAATTTATGAAAAACATATTTATGAAGTAATTTAAAAGCGGACGATATTCTGAAATTTTTTTCAATTAATAAATGATTGTTATAAAAAAGAATAAAAATAGTGACATTGATTAAAAAACAATAAATTTTGGAATGTTGTTCTTATATTTTATTTATTATTTTATTCAGAGCTTCTTTTTTTTTTTTTAAATAAATATTGCGCAAGCTTTATAAACATCACAGCAAAAAACTTTCCAAACATGAGAAAAATCAACTTTCCAAACATGAGAAATATCAATTTCCAAACATGAGAATTTTATAAGTAATGCATTAAAAGTATTGTTGTTTCGTTTTTAGGAAATATTGTCATAATGGATTATTTACATATTTAGTTTAAAGCGTTATAATAAAAAGTCTAGAAAAATATGTAAGTTTTTAAATCAAATATAAATAAAACTTACCCAACCCCCTTGCGTTTGAATCCAAATTGAAAGTTTTTTATTGACAAAAACACTAAACCAATATATTATTCTCCCGATAAGATCATTTTTTCTATGGCGCATAACATCTAAGGCTAGTCCACCAGTAAATGCAAAAAAAGCGATTATTTTTGCCCAAGTTATGCTTTCCGAAAATAGTTGTGTTCCGAATTTATTAAACGAATCCCAAACAACAATCTCACTTTCATAGTTTAAGTTTAAATGTACAGATATTTTGTTAAATAGTTTTGGATATTTCATTTCAAGAATTAATCCCATATTTTTTACAACATCGTACAGTTCTTCTGCATTCTGACAGGAGTCATTGTATTCTTTAATTCCCGACCTCCCCAGTCTTGCTTCAATATAATCTTCACAAAGTTTTTGGGAAGTTATTGTTATATCTTCAATAGAATTCGGTACTACTTTAGATATAGGTTTACCAAACAGCATCGTTATAGATTCTTCCCTTGGGCACTTCTTCGTTGGTTTTAAGCTTTTTGTTTGCCATAGCGATAACGCTTTTATTAAAGTTTTACTTTCATTGTTTTCTCCATTGGAAATCATCACACAAAAAAACCTGTGTAAATATTTTCTCAGGCGTTATCTTATTTAAAAACAACTTACATATATATATTACAAACTGCAGTTTGTATCTTAATAAAATACTTCATATCGCGATTTACTATTGAGATTTCCTCGCCTACCTGCGAAATAGTTTAAGCTTCTTTTGAATTCTTCTTACATTTATGTATCAACAATGCATTGCTTTTTATTTTAACGAAAAACTCAATAAAATTTGACAATATGGCGCACAGATCTTCTTTGTTCACAATGTTGCACAAAAATCATAACGGCAAGATAAACAACATTTTCTATAGACTTCTAAAACATTCAAAAAAATTTATTAATAAAACAAATAATTAATAAATTTGTTTAATTCTTTTATAATTTTTGACATAAAAAAGACCTCCTTTTCAATGTAGAAAACCTCCTTTTCAAAATTAAAAACCTCCTTTTTGAAACAAAAAAAACCTGTTTTTAAATTTGTATAAACACATGCGTTTCTCAGTGAGAGTGTGTGTTTGTGTTTATATAGTGTGTATATATATATATATATATATATATATATATATATATATATATATATATATATATATATATATATATATATATATATATATATATATATATATATATATATATATATATATACAGTTAATGCATAATAATTCGAACAAAGTTTAACTCGAAAATATATTATTTCAAACTATTTTCTAAAGTCTTTTGGAAGATGGAATGATTGTTTTACTTCACTTAGATCAAATATTTGTTTAGTCGAACCGTTTTCCTGAGTTTCTTGGAAGTTCAAGTTACCAGGATATAAGTATATATATAAGTATATATATATATATATATATATATATATATATATATATATATATATATATATATATATATATATATATATATATAGCAATAATTTACTAAACTATTTTGTTACAAGTTTATTTACTTCTCTTCCAAAACGATTCTAAATAATTGTTTGATATTTAAGCATATTATTGTATTTGACAGTTTGGTATGCAGCAAATATATTTGATTTGTAAACAGCAATAATGCTAATAATTGCACTATCTTTTAAAAGTCGTCTTCCGTTAAATTGTGATCTGAAAGCGCAGCAGAAAGTATTTGTTTATCTTGATTTGTTGCTGACAATCACTTTCAAGAAAAAATAACTTTTACTTTTAGTAAAGAAGTGACAACTAAATGTTTTTCAATTTTTAATTTAAAAAAAACTTTTATTTTAAATTAAAAAATTTAAGTAGCGTAAACATGCATACTAAAAAGGTAAATTTACAAAAAGCAATTATATCAAAGTTTGATGCATAAATATTCTTCAAAAAATTTTAATTTCTAAACGATGCAATCATTTATAAATAATGCAATCATCGTTTATAAATAATGAAATCATCGTTTATAAATGATGTAAAAAAGGTTTAACCACATTTATTTAAATCATTCATTGTTCTTTATGATTTTTTTTTAATTTTTGATTTTGATTGACACAAACAAAGGGAATTGTTCAATTGTTATCCATTTTCATACGGCTTGCATTATTGTTTTTAAGTACAAATAAGTGGATGAAATCCGTTAAATGATTTTAAAACTCATGAAGTCTTCCGTGAATCCAAAATTCAGCATAATTCTATTAAATGTATCAAATATTAAATGTACGTGAGTCAATTGAAATTAAATAACCTCCTTGCTTACAATATTTTCAATGTAAAAACGCGAGGAAAAGTTCTTTATAATTAAAACTATATATTATTATGTGTCATATCATCAGATGTTTCCAACTTATGATATTAACTACCCTGTGTTAAATGAGCAAGCGACAAGCTAACTTTATAACTTTATAGCAATTTTTGAACGAACTTTTTTTCTTACACTATTGTTTTATTTCGTCTTTTACGTTATTAAAAAATTCGATTTTTAGTATAGAATCTAATGCTAAAAAAATAATTATTATTATCGTAAATATATTAGATCCAATATCAAAATCATAATTGTTGATTGTGTTATGTACCTCAAAATAATGTTTTTCTACTTAAATCTAAGTTATAATCAAAAAGTTGCGGAGAAAACATAAGTAAAAAAAATCTTTATATTAGCCGTCTCCTAAAGTTTTTGTTTTTTAAATCGCTTTATCTTAAATCTTAAAAATGTGGAGATAGAACAAGATAATTCTAACCACGTAAAATGACGTTTGAATATAATAGCACGTGTAAGCAAGTAAGTAAATATGTAAGTAAATAAGATGATATGTAATTTAAAACTAATTAATATTAATAATATACTATATTGCATAAATCTTATTATACTATTATTATTGTTATTATTATTATATACTAAATAACAATATTAAGTGAATTTTCGCTAGCTAATCGTTAGCTTTTCAAGCTTGTAATCCTCGTAGCCAAATTTCTGTCGGTACTGTTATGAATATTGCTATTTGCGGCTAAAATGGCTAAATTGATTATAACTTATGGATATAAAGATACTACTAAAGATAACTAATGACCGAAATTGCCGAAAATAGACCGGAAAGTTAGATTTTTTTATACTAAGAAACATAAACACAAAGAAGAAAAATACTTTGAGAATAATAAACTTTTTTTTGAAAAATACTTTGTTTTGTTTTGTCAAAACTAATGATTTTTTAAAGAACTCATTATGCTTTTTTTTATATTTCTTGAAACTCTCCGACGTATGTGTGATCAAAGTGACATCAAAGTAACGTCGGCATTCTAACTTGATTTTACAAAACAAAAAAAACGCGCATTTTAAAATTTATTTCGGGGTAATACTTCCCCTAGGATTGCCATATGGTAATCACTGAAAAAGAGGAGATTTTACACAGTGGCGGGTTTTAGGGGGGCGGAATAGGGTAGTAGCCTCCTCCCCCACCCCACATTCCCCCACCCCCTTAGGACTTTTTTTCAAAAATTTCTTTTGTAAACTGACTATTATACAGAATTGAACTACTATACTGACAAATGAAATTGACTATTATACGTAATTATACGTATATGAACATGATTATTATACTAAAGTACAAAAAATTAAAAAAAAACTTAAAAATGAAAATATGCAGACTTTTTTTTGTTGAACTTTTTAGCCCCCTTCTTGGCAAGTGACATAACCCGACCCTGATTTTACAATACGTGTTAAATGAATGAGAATTCTTATTATTTAACGAGGCATTACCAGAGTGGACTCTTTTTATGAGAATTAAATAAATAATAACCCCTTTTTTAAATGTCATTTGTTTTTTTAACACAAATTGCTGGTTTTGCAATTAAAATTAACCTAATTTTAATTGCAAAATGTTCACATTCAATTTTATTGCTGTCTTACATTATTTCTTGGTGAATTAAGTCTTATTAGTTATTCTATATTAAATATACTTTACTATATAAATGAAAGCCAATAATTATTCCTCCATTATTTAACTTGTCTCTCTTGTCATCTTGTAACCATTGTTCACTTGTATCTAACTAATCACTTAAATCAGTTATCATTTTCACAGTTATCGACCAATCATTTGTTGGAACAGAGCAAGAACTATGGACGGGAGAAGATAAATCATACCAACTATACTTCTTTGTTGAACTTATCTTTTTCAATAAGTCTTTGCTTGATAACAAAAACTTATTGAACTTATAAGTTTGAAAATTGGTCATGGCTCAATGATTTATTAAAATTAAAAAGGGGATCTTTTGTCTACAATTAAGCCTTCAACTTGATCCCAAATAGGGATATTGTCAAGTTTCATCCAACTTAAGCTTTTAACTCTTGTTATTGAAACTAATAACAGATCAAAGGTTACATAACTTACATAATTTTGGCATAATTATGATTGTAAGATGAATAAAATAAATAAAATTAACATAAGGTAATTTGTTTATCTTTGGGAGAATCATAAATAAATGATCCAGCAGGGCAAATTTTGAGTTTGGCTTCACACTCATTCCTCTCTTTTTTAAACTATAAAACATTTTTTTAGAAAAAATTATCGAGAGTGCAGCGATTCTTTTACTTTAAAACTTTAAATTAAAGGAACTATCTCTTGTGTACCAGCAACCAAAATACTTTATTACCTTAACGTAATTTATCGGTCACGACTTTCGTTTTCGCAAGTTTAAATGCGCGCACATTTTTCAATATTGTGTAATCAAGAGAAGAGAACACGTGCTGTGTTAGCATTTTCAATAAATTGTTAGTGACTAAATACATTTTACATTTAATAGTTTTTACATTTTCAATTCTATATATTTAAGTATTAAAATTTAAGTATTAAATATCGAATTTTTATAAAAATCAAATAAAAACCTCCAAAAAGAGGAGATTTCATGTTTTTTTCTGAAATCCCCTGGAGCCTTATTTTTTGCCTTAAAATCCGGAGATCTCCGGAGATATGGCAACCTTATACTTTTCCCCACCCCAATATAATTTTTGTTCTTAAGGCACTGTCTAATACTAATATTTATTACATTATTTCTTTATGTTCTACATTAGAATTATATATCAAATTTTTTATCATTTTAATGATAAGTAGAAGTTACTAAAACTTTATTTAATTATCAAAAGTTGTTGAAATTTTGTTATGTTTTAGTATACTTTGTATATTTAACATTACATATATATATACATAGTAAAAATTTCTAAAATATACAATATTTCTCATAACATTTTATTTACAAATAAATAATGCACTGATGGGTTTTTTTAAATACCTATTGTTAAACTATTTAATAGTTAAGTTAAATGTCAATAAAAATACAAAGTTTATTTTTTATGAAATTTAATTCAGCTGCCTTAATACATAATATATTTTTATTTATTTGAATAGAAAATTTTTATTTTTAGTTTCTTGTGGAGGAACTAGTTCTAGACTAGAAATTACCTAATAAGCTTAATTATAACTTGTATATGTGTTTCTTTTACGAATTTGTATAATAGTGTTTTTTTATTCAAAGATTAGTATTTTATTTTTTTGTAACTTATTGTTAATGTAAAATAAGGATAAAGAATAAGGAATAAAATTAAGGATTAGAAAAATAAGGATTAAAATTATAGAATTTGTATTATCTATTTTATACTTTTTTTAATACACATTTAATAGTGCTTTTAGTAATTACATTTAATAAGAAAAAGTAACATTAAAGTAAAAATAATAATTTTCTTATACAATACAAAGTTATATAACGTAGTTAATCTTAAATTTTTCTTTATTTGGTAAGTTAACAGATATAAATATATAAACATTTAAAAAAAAAAAAGTTGATTTGTATAAATTTCAAATTCTTAAAATTGTATTTACTGATAAAAACTTTATGACATGTTGCTCCTACAATATTATAACTGACACTGACTTTCACAAATTTGATTCTCAAGTCACGAAAAACAGTAAAATATTATAATTTTATATATTATAAATATATTATAAATTTATATATTATAAATTTTATATATTATAAATATATTATAAATTTATATATTATAAATAATTTTTTTTTTAATGTTTTTGTATTAAGTTATTTATCTTTATTTATTTTTTATTGTTATTCACCTCTGCATTACTACCAGGGACATGGTAGGGATAGAACTCAGAACATCTCATTATGAAGCAAGCAAAAAACATATTCTACAGAAACAGCAACAGAGCATCTAAATTTTACACCAGAATTTAGTCATAATAAACAAAATATTAATTAAATCACTTGACACACAGTGTTACATTATACACACTTAGTCAGTATTTAATTTTCGAAATGAATCACAATCTCATATTTCCCTAATTTCAGAGTTGAAACAAAGAGCCAATTTTTTTCTTCATTAATTTAAATTATAAATAACTTTTAACTTTTTTTTTTTATGTATTTTTTTTTTTACCTCCTCAAGACCATAAAGGCTACCTCTTCAAGGCCATTAATTAAATTCACCTCCTCAAGGCCATAAAGGTTACTCATGTTGAGGAGGCTCCTTTTTTTTTAATTGTGGTTATAACCCCCTCTCAACTCTATAACTCTGAAACACAAAAATATTTCAATAAAATACATGACAAATAATGTTAGTGTATTTTACAAATAGAGTGCTCAATATTCTTAAAGAACCGAGCAATAATAAATTATATATATATACACACACACACGCATATATATATTTGTTGAATGCTATCATTTTTTCTTCAATTTTTATGTGCAGAGTTCCAGTACAAAGTTATCAAGGTGTTTGAAATCAAAACAAGTTGACTCAAAAATACATCATCACATCATTTAATCTTAAACTCAACTATTGAACAATAGAAGATTTGAATGAAAGAATGGGTAACAAAGGTTTTGCACAAAAGTTTGTGAGATTGATTTAATATGTTTAATATGATTTAGGGAACAATAACAAATGATACTAAAACCTGGACAATATTTTATTGCCCAACTTTTAAAACAACAAATAATTTACAATCATTTTATTAAAATGAATGTAAATCATTTGCTGTTACAACTTAGATCAGCCTATTTATTCAGCTTATAAATATTTTTAAACATTTTATTGCAAATATATTTTAACATTGGTTGCAGCGTAACAAAGTTGTTATTGAATAATTTAAATGTTTTAAAATTTTATTTTTCTTATTAAAATTAGTGAATAAAAATGTTTTTATATTTATGATTTCGCCATGATTCAATCGGAACTACTCATTCAATTCAAACTGCTTATTAAATACGCTTGGATTTTTTAAGGCTTGACCTTGGTGAATGCAGTAAAAAAAAACATTTAAATAAGATCTTATGTGTATAACACTTTAATGGCCTTATATATATTTTTTTCTTTTTTAGGTCAACTCTCATGTGTTAGTGGAAAGTTACCAAAACATGTTAAGGACTTAATTTATAATTTTTGTATTTCTTCATTTGTTATTTTATTTGTTACATGTATATTCAAAACATTACAGGCGTTATGAATAACTGCAAAGGTTATTTATTAATTATTTTAATAATACTTTAAATAATTATTATTTTAATATTAATTTAAATTATTAATGTGTTATATAAATATTCACATGTAATATGTAAATATTACATGTGAATATTTATATAACACATTAATAATATAGTACAAATGTCTATAAAAATAATATCAATAGATAAAAAAATGCTACAAAATCATTTCTTAGGAACATTTTGAAGTATTTTTATTATAAAACTTTATTTCTTAAAAGTTAAAAAATGCTAATTTGAACTATGAAAATTGTTGAAATTTTTATAAAATTTTTGTATTTATGACACTATAAAGTACCCATGTCAAAAGTATTAAATATATTATTACTAATATTTGAATAAATTGTAAAAAGTAAATATATTTATTTATAAACTATATTTTATATGTATATATATATATATATATATATATATATATATATATATATATATATATATATATATATATATATATATATATATATATATATATATATGTTATATAAGTTTATATATCTATGCTTACAGATAAACAAGTATAAATATATGATGACATCAAGTTCAACTATACGGTGAAAGGCTAATTCTTTGATAACCAGGTTATTAGAAAATGATAATTATTGAAGTTTAATCTGTGATTTTTTCTTTTGGCTGATTCCAATAGTTTTAATATTTTTGAAAGTGGTTCTATGTCATCTTTAACTAAACTCTCTTTTAAAAGTGCTGATTTTAGTAAACCCTTTTCACTCTAATAATTGTTCTAAATTAACAGCATCAATGCATTGGTTATGCATTGATGCTATTAAATTGGTTTGGATGACCGGATTATTAAGACTGTGGATTATTATAGTCCAACATTCATAACATGCATTTTACTGAAATTATTGATTTTTGGTAAGATTTACTCAAATGGTCAAGCGTTTAAGTGAAAAAAAAAGCAGTTCAGATTGGAAGAAAAAACACCTAACAAAGTAATCACAAATGTTAAAGAGAGCTATTTAATAAAACGATTTTTGATTCTTCACTTTGTGAAAATGTACTATTTCAGTTTCTTTATTGTATCATGCAATTTCATGTTACAAGAAAATGTATTGTCTTTGTCAAAATAACCCTTGTAAAAAAACAACTGAATTCTGAACTCAAAGACAAATAAACATCAAGGGAAAATCATACTATGGGAAAATCATGACATAATGGGAAAAAAAATACTGGAAGTATTTTTATTATGTCATGATAGTGTGTTTTAAATAAATTTTGTTTATTCAATTAAAAATATTTTGGGGGCAGTTTCATTAGTTATGCAGTTTGTTGAGGTATTGTTTTTTCTATTTCAGATGTTGCTAAACGATTTGCATTCAATAATCTTTCGAAAGCAGAAAAATTCAGGGGAGTATTTAATAGAAAGTTAGTCTTATTTCTGGAATTTGTTGTATTTCTATTTGTTCATTCCGAATGCTTTTTTATTTCGTTCTTAAAAATGCTTTTAATTGGATTTGTTTGTAACTTCATGTTTCTTATGATTTTCTCGTTTAGTGTCAAACAAAGAATACGAAAATTGCTTGAGATATGGTCGAAATTTGCAAAGAAATTAAAAATCAAACTAGTTTCATTCTAAATTATTGTATATAGTTTTAAAATTTTGTAATACCACTATGCACAAAAGTTTAATCGAGATAGAGTTTAATATAACAACGTACCAACTTTTCTAACATTAAAATTTAACAAATCTAGATTTTAAGTTTTTCTTTTTTGTTTTTTGGTATTTATGTTTCTATTGATAAAATAGACAAAATTTTTTTTTTTTTTTTTTTTTTAACATCTTCACTTCCAACAAGGCTGCAAGCAACCACTATAAGAGTTGGAAGTTACTGGAAGAGAAAAGACTAAATCTGTAGAGCAAGATAACGATTGACTGATGACTTAAAAGATTGCAAATTATATGAATCAGGAAAGCAAGATGAAGGAAGCGAATTCCAAAGAACTGATGTTCGAGGAAAAAAACTAGAAGAATAAGAGTTTTTGAAGCACTTAGAAACAGTCACAGAAAAAGGATGAGACTTAAATGAATGGCGAGTAACACGAGAATGAATTTTAGTAGATGGCACAAGGGACGCTAGCTCTTTAGAGCAGTGCCCATTATAGTATTTGTAGAAAAGAGAAAGAGAAGCAACATTACGACGATGTGACAAAGGTTGGAGATTGGCTGCCAGAGCAGGTCCAACTATGTTTACAATTCGTTTTTGCACCTTGTCTAAAAGAGAAAGAGCATCATTAGAAGATCCGCCCCAGATGTGGCAACAGTATTCCATACAGGGACGGATTTGAGATTTATAGAGATAGAGAATAGAATCTGGAGTAAGAAAGTGTCGAGCTCGATAAAGAGATGCAACCTTAGCAGATGCTAATTTTGCAATGGATTTGATATACGGTTTAAAAGAAAGATCAGAAGTAAGAGTTAATCCTAGAAGATGAATGGTAGATGACTCATCTAGTACATTACCATTCATAACTATAGGAAGATCTAAATTATTACGATAACGATTGGCCGAATAAAATTGAGTTTTATCTGAATTAAAGTTCACCAGCCACTGTGAGCCCCATGCTGTAGCAGAAGTGAGATCCTTTTCAAGCTCAGATACCCCCTCCAAGCAATCAGAGAGTGTAGGCTTCTTATCATGACAGGAGTAAATGGTAGTGCCGTCAGCGAATAATACCACCTTAGATGTGAGAATATCTGGAAGATCGTTAATGTAAATTAAAAAGAGTATAGGGCCAAGGATTGAACCTTGAGGAACCCCTGAAGTTACAGGATGTGAAGAAGAGTGTTGTCCATCGAGGACAACTTTTATACTACGATTGGAAAGAAAGGACTCAATAATTTTAAACACGTTACCAGCTACACCATAAGAAGAAAGCTTATGGAGAAGACCAGCATGCCAAACTTTATCAAAAGCTTTAGAAATGTCAAGTGCGATAGCCTTAACCTCTCCACCTCTATCTAATGCACGGTAAAACCTATCGGTTATTACTGTTAGCACATCAGCTGTAGAACAAGAAGACCGAAATCCATATTGATGATCAGAAAGTAAGTTATTTGATTCAAGATGAGAGATTAAGTGTTTGTTGATTAAAGATTCAAAAACCTTGCTTATAACAGGAAGAAGACTAATGGGACGGTAGTTAGATGAATCAGATCGCTCTCCGGAATTTTTGAAAATAGGGATAACAGATGCTGCTTTCCAGCATGATGGAAAACAAGAATCTGATAAGCACTTGTTAAATAGTTTGGACTTGTTAAAAAGTATGGATGAAAGCTCAGGAGAACACCTCTGCAAGACTACAACAGGAATGTTGTCAGGACCACAAGCTGTTGAAGAGTCTAAGCAGGAAATTACTTTAGATACAGAAGCTGAAGTGATGCGAATGTCAAGCAAGGGATCAACCTGTTTGACGGCTATGTCAGGTAAAACGCAACTAGTGGAATCAAGAGATGATATTGATGAAAAGTTCTAAGCAAACAATTCAGCTTTGTCTTTAGGTGAGGTGACAAAGTCTGAACCGTACAAGAGAGAAGGAATAACAGATTTGCCCTTATTATTGATACTGTTAAAGATTCTCCAGAAGTCTCGAGAGCCTAATTTTTGTGATGAGATACGAGATTTAATGACCTGGGAATAGCGAGCTTTGGCGTCAGACAAAACCTTTTTACTATGGTTTCTGGCGATAGTGAACAGATGTCTGTTTTCTGGAGAATTGTTTTGCTGATAGATATGGAAGTAACGGTTTCGATTAGAAATTGCTGCAGCGCAATGTGAGGAAAACCAAGGAGAAGAGTGAGGCTTGACCTGGAATCGTCGAGAGGGAATAAAAGATTCCATGCCAGCCTGAATCCACGAAGTTATGTAAGAAGCACATTTGTCAGCAGGAAGACGAAAGATTTCTACCCAAGGGCCATCACGAAGAAAATCACGGAAAGAGTCCCAGTCAGCTTTAAGGTAGTAAATACAATTTTATCACATGCTAAACTACATCCGTAAAACTATTTGAACGTTAAACGAAGTATTTTATTTAAGAGATAATCAAGTTTTAATCAAGTTAATTAATTATACATTTTTTACACTTCATAACTAATTATTATACCACGGTTAGCACGGATCCTTATAATGCCTATCTAGCTGTCTCAAGAACGCCACTTATACGGAAAGTTAGCGTTCACATCAAGGTACCCTGTGATGCAAATTTTGAAATCATCCGCGGAAAATAATTTAATTAGTATGTTCAAATTAAGTCAAATTTTGACTTCATAGTGCGCCGATAAAAACACTTGTAGAATTCGAACCACTCAATATAATTTGATAAAAATTGGTGCAAATGTAGCCAGTAGTCATACCAAACTCTGGACGAAATTTCAGCTTGATTAGATGACTGGTGTAGGATTTATTGCAGTTTTAGTTATAGTTTTGTCAGTTTTTTGCTACTTATACCTCAAAATGTTACCAATTACTTTGAAATTCGGTCACTATTTTTAAAACAACGGTTATATGAGTGTTCTATTATGTAATACCAACAATTTTTGTTATAATTATTTTATCGGTACATGTGCAGTTTTTATTTTATAGACCAAAATATTGATTTTCTACTTAAAGCGTGATTTGAATTGGCTTATGCCAATTGCGTTGACAAGGCCTTCAAAGTGGAGGGGATCAACCCCTCAATTTCTAAAATAATTGCCTAAATTTCTAAAACAAAAGGTCCTCGCAAAAAAAAGAGGGCAGGTCATGGATCCCTTGACGGCCATGTATGCCTCGCTTGAATATACCAACATTTCCTAAGGTATAAACTGCTGCCAGAATGCAAAAAAATTATAAAAAAATGGTTTAGAAGGATTTCTAGGGATACCTGCATAGAAAATAAAAATATTTATTTATCTGAAAACAGAACAACTGTGAAAAAACCAAAGATTTTTTATATTGACAAAGATAATTG